CCTCAAATAAGTTGAAAGTGACCATTTTTATGCTTAGAACAAAGAAATTTTCTGTTCCTCTGGTTATTGTAAATGCCATCCATATTTTTTTTAAACAATCATGTTAAATACCGAACAATGCTACACTCTCTTACCCTTTCACAGAAAATCAGGTTAAAAGCAGTTAGCTATCAATTTCCAGTGACAATTACACTCTTCCCTGCATAGCCCAGAAAGATATTAGAGAATGCACTCAATGGACTATCTCCTTCAATCACCTTTATGACATTTGACATCCCAGAAACCAATGAGGTTTATAACTTGTGTTGCCTTCCCTGTAAATCAGCAGCAAATCTCTTGCTGTCAAGCGCTCAGAAGGAAGTTCTAGAGTTGTGACCCTCATACAGACAATAAGGCAAAAATGTCTTCTTGCTCCATTCCCTTCATCAGGAATCAGGCTAAAACGTGGACAATTTTGGTTCAGAGCAGAACAGTCAATAATGCAAGTCAGAGAGGTGTCTAATGGCAACTGTATTCATCCTCTTGAGACGTGAGTGAGAAAGACTGGCTGAAAGCCACTGAAAACTAGCAGAGAAGAAAATGGCACTCTGAAATCTGCAATATTTTCTCCAAACTACCAATTTCATCTATAGTCTGTAAAGAATGATGTCTTGCAATTTTCCAGGACTAGCTGCTTACTTTTATTGCAAGCTAAGGGCTAGACACGATTTTATTGCAACAATAATTTTGAAGTTTATGTGTAACTTTTGTGTGCAACACAAAGTTTCCTTGCATAAAAACCCAAAACAAAAACAAACCCGCAAACGAAAAACCAAAACCAAAACAAACAAAAGCCCTGAAAGTCCACACCTAGCAAAAGCAGTGTTCCATCTATCTTCCAACAGGGCCTGAAAATAATACAGTATAAAATAGCCCTGTCCAGAAGAATTGCTATCTCTAAAACCTAGACCAACACTGGTTGTCAGGTGAAACTTTGCCATTTAAACATACTGGATTTTTGAATCCAATCAAATCAAGAGGCAGTCTGGAGTTCCTTCAACATAAATGAGAACCTGGATTACACCCAGGAGGAATTTGGTCCCATCTTGTGGTTTGGGTGTAGACCATGTACAGCCTGACACATTACATATGTTTTCATCACATTTGATTTATACATAAGATGCAATTCTACCAGAGGTAGTCACCTACACCTCTGGTGCATTGTAAATTGTCTGTGATGCACTTAGATGAACAGGAAAAGTACAGTAAATAATTTGATTATTATATTTTTTTAATTATATACATTAGTTAGTTGACAACTGGTTGATTTTTTTTCTGACTTTTACATTTTCTAAGCAGTATGCAGGCACTAAAAATACCATGGAAGTTTTATGCTTCATTTAAAAAATGGTGGAAGTTGCCTAGTATTCAGATGTAGTGCACCAATACAAAATACAGTGCCCACTGCCATACCATGGCAAGAGCAGGACTCTAATTACTGCAGCAAATACAGGGCATTAAAAGATCCACTGCTGACACTCAGCTGTCCTGGAGAATCACTCCTAATAACAATTTTTTTGCTGAAGACTAATTCTTCCCTGTTGGACAAAATTCCAGTAAATATTTCTGATGCTAGAATCTTTTGCAATGTTCCCATACTGATGATGTAGATTAGCTAATTTTTTAGTACAACTAAATACAGCGTAGGAAGATACCAAAGTATGAATTTAAATTTACATAACTATTTGCCATTTTGAAGGATGGTTGGAAAGAGGAAGTAAATTTCTTTATGACCTTGCATAACTAAGACAGTACCTTCCCAAATATGCAGAAGAAAAGGGATATATTTTAGCCAGTTTGTGGTTTAGTGAAATCATTCCAGGGAAACAGGATAACAGGAGGTAAACCATCCTAGAACAGAAAAAATTGAGCTTAGTCCTTGCTCTCTGCTGCCTTCTCCAAGATTTTGCTCTGCCTTGCAGAGAGAAAATCTTTACATGTGAGCCACTGTTTTACATCTTAATCTTTTCCAGGGAAACGGAAGACTTTCTCATTTTCCTGAGCAGTATATAGGCCATGGATTGAATTTTGACTCAAAAGCTGTACTTTCAGTACTCATGCAGGTTTGTGCTAAATGTGCATTCAAGCTTTAGGCAGCTCTTATTTTGCTAACTAAGCAGATCTCTTGTTCCTTAAATGCCCTCTCTAGCTCGGATGCAGCACAGAAACCTGACAATTACGTAGCTTGCCTAAGACTTTTCTTCATGAGGGAAACTTGTAACAGAAATACTCTGGTAGAGCTTTGTGCCCTTGCCTTCTGCACTTTCACTTCTATGCAGTAACAGATGATGCACAGTCTGTATTTGATAGAGTGGAGCTCTCTGGTGCCACTGGGAGAAGGGAAGACCTTCACTGCAAACAGATGCTGTCCATTCTGACCCACATTCACGTGCACCAGCGTCCAGAGAAATGCAACCTCCCTGCAGCTTAGGGCAGGAAAATACTTACCCAGCTGTGCCTCTGCTGGCCTGTGTGGAATGGACCTGGGTGGAGTTATCTGGGATTCTCTGCTGGGATCCCATGTGAGTAATATTATTAGGTGAGGCACGGCTAAGATTTTGGAAGTCTGTCTTGCCTGGCACACCTGAACAATGCCATTTAAAGCATAAATTTTACAAAACATTCAGTGATGGGGGTAACTGCCATGTTAGTTTTTAGCAGAGATAGTCAGGGAAATCCCCCACAAAACTCTTTTACAGTGAATTATAGCATGGCAATTCAGTACTGTGCTTCTAATCAGAAAAATATTGCGGTGGAATAGAGCCTTGATGGAAGATGTAGAAATTGTTGGACATTTTGCTTCCCAGTGAGGTACATATCTGCAACCTATACATTAAAAATTTCAGTTCCTTGGACAGGTAAGGAAAGAATGAAGACAGTCTATACCTATACTTCTATTTGAAATAAATTCAGTTTTGGAAAGAATCAGCATTTTGAAAAAGTATGTTTTCAAAGTTTGAACATCCATCCTGTTAGAATAGGGTGCAAGAACTAGATTTTCCCAGACTTGTAGTATGAACTGAGTGATTGAAAGCTGTGGCAAGTCAAGATTCTAAAATTCTACAGATGCTTGCACTGTTTTTAAGGAAAATTGAAAGATGTGTTCACAATAAGGATGCACTCACTGAGGACTGAAATCTGTTAATCTTTGGAAATTATTGAGAAGCCATATTCTTTGTAAATATAAGAGCACTTTGACTTATTAAATAAATGGGTCTGGATTCTGAATCCATGCTGCCATGGGCAGAATCAGGAAAAATCACAGGCAAAATCCCTGAGCAATATTATAAATTTTATAGCTTGACCGTTGCTGTGTTGCAGTAATTATATAATTAGATGACAATTTTTAGGTTACTGTACAATTTTTTCCTTTTTGAGATATTAATCAGCTAAGTCTCCATGCACACAGGATTAAGATATTGCTGAAAAGCTGTGACAAGGCCAAAGGCAGGGCTTTGCTGTCAGGCTCTGGGAGCAGGCCTGCAGCACATGGTTTGTTCCACAGCTTGCTGCCTGCCTGGGAGCCTGTGGAAACAGGGCTCAGGATTAATCTGTAGCAGAACTGCACATTAATGCAAATTATTTCCTCAGGCCATATTTTGCAGGTCGTCATGTATCCTAACACACATAGAGGAGAAACGTCTTCATTTCTCCGTTCAATTAAAGCGTTAACACAATAAATGAACCTTTCATAAAAGCAATCAAAACAAATCCATTTTTAAAAAGCAAACGAAATATATTTTAAATGCCACTGAAGGTGCCATTTAAGCTGTAAGAAGCTAGCTGCTCAATTGGTCAGTCACAGCAAACATAAAACTGGGTTCTGGGTGCCACCAGCCCTCCACAGGGCAGTGCTCCTCAAGATGGGCACAGAGCCCTTTTATGTCACAACTCAGCTACATGTTGGCAGCTGGCTTAGAACAGCCATAGTCCCTGCTATTTGCTTATAAAGGCAGCATCTCACAGATCACACAGTATTCTTATCCACAAGGATCCCCAAGTCCAACTCCTAACATTCTTCTTGTGGGATTGAACCCACAGTCCTGGTGTTTAAGGCACCATACTATGACCAGCAGAGCAGATCGAGGGCTCTACACACCTTCCCTTGGGATTCACCCAGATTCATAGAGAGACCCTGTACCAATGCTTCCTTTCTGCAGAGACAGTTCAAAGACCTTCAGTGGACCTCACTGTTAGCCTAGAAAGAAAGGTGTTAGAAGCTGCTTTAAAAATAAACAGCTGAAAGAGACACTGGCTTTTGCATTTGGATTTTTCCACCAAAAAAAAAAAAAAAAGACCAAGCAAAAAAACAAAGCAATCAAAAAAAACCCCATCAAAACACGCCAAAACGCAAAATACCAAAACCAAACTAACAAAAAATCCCCAAGCAAACAAACAAACAAACAAAAAATCCACAAAAACATGTCCACACCATTTAAAGTGGAGAAAACAATTTATCTTTGTCTATAAATCTCAGCAATCCTGTTTTATCCTGACAGTGCTGTCAGGAAATAAAAAAATCTGATTTGTTTCAGATGACTTAAATTCTGAGGTGCTATGTTGGACAAAAGCTATTTTTAAAGGCACGTTTTTCGCTCTACTGGTTTGGGTTTTGGTTTTGGGGGTTTTTTTTGGGGGGGGGGGAGGTTTGGGTTTCTTGGGAATAAATATGAGACCTAAGGGATTAAATTTCCAAGTAATAAAAATCAGCACAGCTCCATTGATCTGAATAGGGCTATGCTGTTTTTTGCCCGGGGGATTAGCTTCACCAAAGGCTTTGTAAGCTTTTTTAACTTAAAGAGACAGGCTTGGTCTGTTTCAGAACTGAAAGAAATGGAGAATTGTGAGCTCAGGTTAGGGTAATCTACAGCTTTAAATGACAAACTAGAGAGTGTGTCGAGGCTTTAGAGACTAATTGTAAAAATCTACTACATTGGTTGAGAGAACCAGAACATTACAGCCTATGTGCACATATGCCCACACATAGATATATTCCACAACTCTTCAGTAGGTGGCAGCTGAAAGCCTGGACGAGCTTTGCAGTCGCCATTTAGGCAGCAGCACCGGCAGCGGCTGGAGTCAGCGCGCCCGTAGGAGCAGGAGGAGGGAGCTGCGATCCAGGAGCAGGAGCGGTGCCCAGGACCCAGGTACGGGCGGGCAGCGGGCACAGGGCAGCGGGGCTGGGAGGCTGCGGGCGGCGGAGCGCGGCCCCCGGTGCCCCTCGCTGCTGGAGGCAGCCCCGGGCAGAGCGGGAGCGCAGCTGGTGCAATGACGGGCAGAAACTGAAGAGCGTTTGAAGCTTTCTGTTCCTACACAGGTAAATTTCTTTCCGTTGTTTTTCTACACTACCTTGCGCAATAGGCATAGCTCTGCATGGAATTTCGAGGTCTTCCCTTTCTTCGGCCAAAATCCGCAATGCTCGCTCGGGCGGAATTTCCTCTGAAGTCGGTGGAGTTTTGCCTGAGTTGCAACTGAAAGATATGCTCTAAGCTAAAATCTTTTGTAGAGAACATGGCATGCTGTAAACTGGGGCTAGCAAGGAAGTCAGATGCTGGTCATAGACACACTGGCCAGTTAACTATCATTTTTCTCTGTGCTGGGGTGCTAGTAATGACCTTTTTTTCAAGCTGCCTTTCATTAAAACTCAATGTGCTGAATTTTGCCCTAGTTTATAGAACTGCCACTGCAGTGGCTTAAGGAGAGATTAATTTTTTATTTCTTTTAAATGAAAGCTACATTTTAACTTAATTGATAGAAGAATATAAAAATGTGGAGTCTGAATAAAATAACACAAGGTGTTTCTTCAAGACAGATGCAACTTTGCAGCATCCCACTGACAGGCAAGATTTTTTTCCCTGTAGATTGTCCCTCTCCCAACTGAATGAAAGAAAATAAATCATGAAAGACCATTCTCAAGTGCCTGAGAGCTGCTGAATCAGATTTGATAACACTTTATCCCTTTCTGTCCTCCCCATGAAATGTGGGATGCTCTGTATGCTGCACCACTTGGACACAGAAGGGTGAACACAGAATGGAGCAACAAAATTGGATGCATTTTAATTTTGAAGAATTTTCTGAATGTCCTGTTCTCATGAGTGAGACCCTAGTGAGAGGACTCCCATATGCCTGTTTATAAATGCACACACATACAGCTATGTAGGCTGTGTACAGCTATGCACACCCCACTCCTTTCAGGGCAGACACGGCTGATGAAACTGCTGTTGTATCTTTGCCAAGCTTTACAGTTTACCATTATCTGGAATGTTTGCAGGTCTCAACATATTTAACTCTGGCTTGTAGAGGGCTATCTTGGCTCGCCCCCCTCCCATTCCCTTTTTGACTTTTCTCACTAATGGACTTCAGTTATGCTCAGGAGCTGCTCTCTGGGGCCGTCTGTCCTCAATAAATGCAGTAGTACCCAATTAATGCAGAATGGGTTCTGTGCCATTGTTCTGGAGCTATGAAATATGATATTCCTCCAGGCTTCATGCTCTCTCTCACACCACATACAGCATATCTGAGACTCTTGCATGAAGAACTGTACAAACATGGAACAAGTTCAGTCACACAGCTACAAATAAATGGTCCTATGGGTCTGGGGAATGAGTGTGATGTGCAGCTATTTATCCTTACTCCTGGTAAGAGAGGAGAATGAATTGGTATAAATGAGCTGTGAATACACTTAGGCTGGAAGATTTCAAACCATTAGAGCAGCAAGGTTCTTAAATTACATTCTAGTTGAAGTAATATATAGAAAACCTTTTAAATACCTTTTAGTTGTAACTTGATGGAAGGGATTATGTGAAATGGTTGCCTGCAAAGCCAAAGCACTGAATCTGATAATCCAGTAAGTCTCTTCCAGTACTGAATACCATTTTTACTTTTCTCTGGAAGTTGCCTGCACTAAGGAGTCCCTTTGCAAACAAGTGAAGATACTCGGAAATACAGTTTTCCTGGCATGTCACATCAGTCAGATGAAAGCTTGTTTCTGCTCTGTGCTGCACTTTTGTTTACACGAGCAGACTCACAAGCGCTGATGAACCTCAGGCTGAGTAATATCACTTTCTCACAGTGCAGACCAGGGCTCTTAGGAAGTTGATTGGAGTTCAGAGGCTCCTTCTGGCCAAGTGGTCATGATTATATTACACCAGCATTGCAGTCTCGGTAGTGCCAATAAAAATAGCTGTATATGAACTCATACTGCTGTCCTGAAGTCCTTACCAGCACTGTTTCTAGTTTCCTTTGAGGATAACCTGATAACTTTGTTTCCTGGATTTCTTTTGTGCTAACCAACGCAGCTACCCATGTAGACATCCCAGCATCATGTATGAAAAATCAGACTTGGACTTTCATTGTGACAGAGTATGTGCTATTTCTCCCAAAGCTAGATTTTTAAATAAATGTGCGATAAACAATATTCTGGTTCAAAGATGCTCTTATAGAAAGACTGCATCCAATTTTATGTTCTCTTTTTCTCTCATTATTTATGTTTATAAACTTATATTTTTTTCTTTTTTTTTAAATGGTTTTATTTTCTGCACTGATTGCATTCAATTCAGTGTTCCTCAGTAATTCTTCTGTCATACATAATGAGCTGCATTTGAATGTGCCCTCTCCTACACTTAGTGTGAGCATCAGGACATTTTTACATGTCAGATGAAACAGTATTCACTGTGGGACATTTTGTTTGGTGTCTAGAGTGATTCCAAATTTTTATTAATTTTCCCTTAATATTTTGTATTACTACGACTAATTAAGCAATAATCAATATTAAATAGAGGAAGAAAAATGGCAATTTTGTAAAACATGGATAATAATATGATAATATTAATTTCCTTTTTAAATTACCAATATCCAAAAATGTACCAGGAGAAAATATTTCTAAAAATTTTTTTTCCATTTGGGATTTTAACTTTAAATACAGATGTTTCAAAGTATCAAACAGATACTTTTCACTGCATTTTTATTGTGACATTAAAATTAAAACATGCATTAAATTATTTTACCCTACTGCTGGAAGAGCAGTGGAAAAGTGTCTATGCAAATGTACATACTAATTGAAGCAGAAAATGTTCTAGTTTACCTTGTTGAGAAAAGAAATATTGATTAGTTTTCAATCACAAAGTATTGATAAAAGAATAATTCTTGAGATGGGTATCTAGTAAAAATAAAATGTGAAAAGGTGTGTGTCAAGTCTGTGACAAAGGCACTTTTGACTCACACTGAGGTCAGGAACACCTCCTCTTGACGAAATGACTTTAAGTTGAATGTTGATTTTCTCTATCTGCGATTAAAATCAGTGGCTCTGGCTATGCAGGTCTGCAATATGCTGTGGCAGGAAAACCCAGTCAGCATCAGCCTGACTGCAGATAATGAAATTGGTTTTAGCTGAATCTGAAAAGGTGTCTCAAAACTGAAGCTATGTCAGCCTTTCAGTTTCCTCCTTCAAAATATGCATATATTAAAGAAACCATATGAAAAGGGCAAATCCATTCCTAGACTGGATTTTGTTGTTTCCTTCCCAAAATGCCCAGTAGTTCTTATAATTAATCTGAAGCTAAGAAAAGAACACTTTCCCTTCTTTTATTTTTACTTGTTTGTTTTTTATATTCTTCCCTGAAAATTTAGCTGACAAATTTTATCTCTTCTGAAAGAGTTAATTATTTAAATAATCAAATATTGGCTGCTATCAGTAACTAAAATATTGCTGTTTACCCAAATAAATAACATTACCGCTTTCCCAGTCTGTCCACACAAAGCTTACAGTGTGTTACTCAGTATGTTTTTATCTTCAAAATATAGTTTTTATGAATTTTTTTTAACACTACAATGAAAAGAAACATGCATCTAGAAAAAAATTCTCTTAAAGCTAAACCTACTTGTCTTACTTCAGAATTGAAAGTAGTGGAAATTGGAGTACTGAACAGTTATAAACAATCAGAAAGTTGCTATTACTATATTGTAGTCCACAATTATAATTTATTACTGGTTTTCAAAATACTTGGATTTGCAGAAAAATTTTAGTAGAAGAACAGGCTTCTTAGTAGTGTCTGGAAACATATCAATAACTGCATTACATTGCTTAATTAATTATTAGGGATCATTTTGGGTCCTGAAACCCACTGCATTAACTGGTCCCAAGTTATTGGCCAACAAGCTTGTGGCAAAATGTTCTGTTTAAGCCATTGCTTTGAATGGAATATTGTGAAAGAGCATTAGAAATATTCCAGTGGTCAGGATAGCAATCTAGCTATCCTTCCAAGCCAGGCAAGGAAAATTAATGACAGGAGTTATGTCATAAAAAGATACTTAACCTTTAATAATTTTGCTTCTACAGAGGATTTACATAAGTAGTCTCAAATTACGTTAACATTACGGAATTGAGAACTACAGTGAAAGGCAAAATGGCCACCAGTCTTTAGTGTTTCCTCTGATGAATGGAAAACAGTCTTCCATGAATGTACAATTCTTCTGTGTAAATACTTATATGGAAATAGCTTTTTGTCTATGCTGGGACTTTTATCTCACAATACTGAGATCCATAAGTCAGAACCTATTTTTTTTCGAGTGTACAGCTGGAGAAGCAGAAGTTCATGAAACATGTAAAGCCAAGCCTTTGCTCAATGCCAAAAATGATTCTGCTATTAGAAACCAGAGGGGCTGAAAATTCACACTGAGTCTCTGATCCTGCATTTGCGGGTGTGACAAATTCTGGTTTCTAATCATACTGCTCTGTCCAATGGTATTATGTCTTACTTGTTGAAAGGCACACATATGATGTTTTAGTTTATCTTTCCATCTTTCCTTGGTTAAGTTAAATCAATTGAAAACTGAGGAACAACTACGGTATTTGGTTGATTAATTTGGGAAGAAAACTTAAAAAAAAAAAGCAGTTCCAAAGGGAGCTAAATAGAATTCTGGTTTTTTTTACATTTTTGTTTCTGTGTGTTAATTAATGCCTACCTAACTACACGTATGGAAACTCTTCTGTATAATTTCTTTCTGAGTTTTGATTATAAGCACTTAGAGATTAAGACACTGGTCTACCAAAATACTCAAGCAGATAAATCAAGAAAGTATCTGACATGCCTAAAGCAAAGCCTGAATTTAGACAGGAACTCTCATGAAATTCTCCCTTTTAAATTTT